CTATGTCTTCATTGCCTTGAACAGTTTCTGGCACACATGGGGCATTCAGTATTTGCTACATAAATTAATTCACGTTCATTCCTTTTAGATGGCGCCATGTCAGCATCTCCCCTCCCTGAATGTCCTCGTCCCTCATTCTGCATCCTTGTTTACCACCATGTTCACTATGCTGCATTATCCAGCACCTGTCCCTGTAGTCATTCCTTTTGGGGAGAGTCGTTTCCATGGTGATACAAGAGCATTTCACCTACTTAGCAGGCCTCTCAGAAAGCTCTTTGCAGCATGCTTCTATTTCTAGTGTTGTTAAGACTCCAACACACACGGAACTTTCCATTCCTATCCTGGACAGCATTCTCAATCAGTACAGCTAGCAATGTGATTTGCCTGGTGCTTTTCAGCAGTTCTGTAGGCAGGTTTATTTAAACAGACCTCTTGATGGACATTTAGTATGTTCTAAGGCTTTGCCTTTTTAGTCATTCACTCAAAATATTTATGGAGGGCTTATTCTACTCCAGACACTGTTTTAGTCACTTGGCATACACCAGTGATTCAACCCTGGGTTCCTAGTTTATATTACCCCACCTATTGTTTATGTTGTTGTGAAGCGTGTCAAAGATCTTGATTTTGCTTGCTGCTCTCTAGCTACCAACTTTGCAGTCCATTGATGTGAAATATGTACAGGAAAAAAAAAAAAAAAAAAAAAAAAAAAAAAAAAAAAAAAAAAAAAAAAAACGTGGCAGGGTGCAGTGAGAGGCCAAGGTAAGAGGATCCAGGAGTCTGAGACCATGCTGGACCATAATGAAACCCTCATCTCTACAGAAAATGTAAGAATTAGCTGGGCATGGTGGCACGTGCCTGTAGACCCAGCTACTTGTGAGACTGAAGTGGGAGGATGGTTCAAGCCAGCAAGTCAAGGCTGCAGTGAGCTGTGGTTGCACCACTGCACTCCAGCCTGGGTGACAGAGTCAGACCTTATCTCAAAAAAAAAAAATTACAGAAACCAACACTACCTCCTTGTTTGGTAAATAAAAGGGAAAGACCACATACACACACACACACACACCCTATCTAGGCATTTGGAGTGTTGGACAAACTTGTACTACTGAGGAGTTGGGCACTGCATCCCAAGAGTCCTGACCCATTCCCGAGTCTATCAGCCTCTTTGGGAACAGGAAGTTGGAAGCGGGCAATCACTGAGCTGCTCAGATAACTTTCATTTGCATCTCACTCAGATTTCTGTAATAGAGCAATGTTCCTTTTCATTATTATTTCTTATTCCAGAGTGTGTCATTGCCTATGGTTTGTGAGTTTACCTCCTGCTTTGCAAAAGGAAAGCTCTAGAACTTCCCCATTGATACAATGCTCAGAATACCTTCTTGCTATACCATCAGCATTCCTGAGTAAATACAAGTTCAGTTTGAGAAGAAACTTCTGCCTGGCATTCGTCAGGCAGGAAAAACAAATACAAATAAAGATAACTGCAAAGTTAACAAGAAACTATTGCTGCCAAGGACATGCTTAATCTAGAGTGTCATAATAACCCTGTTTGAGTGACTGCGGCTTTCTCACTTTCTCACTGAGAAACACTGTTCTCTAAATTCAAAGACCCTCAGAAACTTGCTGTTTGAAATTTTGTCAGTAAGAATAAAACACCTTGCTTGGAGGGTCTAAGTCACTTTAACACAGAGACATAGCTTCAATTTACAAGCCAGTTGCAAAGGTGCAGAGAAGAGGTTTTCAAAGAAACAGGACCATGGGTCCACTCTGCAGGCTAGGCCTGATGTTGACCCTTTTTCACAGTCCTGCTTTGCTTTGAGGCTATTAAAACTCTGTTTTATTTAAGTTCCATCTAAACTTTACAATTCCTCAAACTCCTGTAACTTTTATCTTTTCCTTCCTTTGGTAAAATGCCCCCATGGTGTCTCTGGTGTGCAATCACCCTCGTTAAAAAAGGTCGATAGGCCTGGTTTTGTTGACTACAGGTTTGTCTCTGGTGGTCTTAGGCTGACTGGGCTTGAACAGTCTCGCTCAGCTTCAGGATGCCTAAGACTGCAAATTTCAAAAACAGAAACAACAAACACCTGCCATTCCTAAATATAAATGCACCTGTCCACGTTGCCAGGAAGTTATGCACATGGCTACTATGTCAATTTGGTCTAACTAGGGTTGGTTCACTTCTCGGGAGGGTTATAGGAGTCAGGGTTCTGTACAGCTTTTAGTTCGATTGCTGCACTGGCTTGGATTTCTTTTCCTTTGGGGCTTCAGGTAAATATTTTGTCTGCTAAATTGACGCCCCCATCCCCAGTGCCCGAACAACAACAACAAAACAACCAAGACACATCTAGTCAGATGAAGCTGACAGAAATGCAGGGGTCAGTCTGGTTACAGGTAGGCAGTCCTGGCTACGTCGACGCCGCAGAGACTGTGGGGCAAATGGACGCGCTGCTGCTGTCCCTCGCCTCCCCCATCTGGGCCGCGGCACCAGTGCCCCAGGTGTACGCCCCACAGCAAGAACCCGAGGCTCGCCGCCCTCCCAGCCGTTCACACCCTTCCCTCGCAACCAGCCCAAGAAGAGGGGCGCGGCTTCAGGGCACGGGCGACGGCCTACAGGACAGCTCGCGCACAGCGCCAGCCGACATCTCCTAAGCGTGAGCGCCTCCACATTGAAGAGCGGATCGCGCTCCTCGGTGATTGGACGTCCGGCTGCGCCCTAGTAGAGGCCGCAAACTACTGAGCGCGTCCAAAACGCCATATTTGTGCCTGACGTCATGCTCATACTGCCCTTCCTGTGATTGAAGAACCAACCGGTTGGGTGTAGCAGACGGGATGTGGTTTTTCAGGTAGAGATCGAAGCTGCTGAGCGCGGACTCAGGGCGCCATCTTGATTCCTGGCATTACCCTCAACGTGCCCTCCCTCTCGGTGATTGGACGAGGAGGGCGGGCCTTCCGGAGGCACAGAAGCGGAAAGGCTTGAAATGCATCTGGGAACTGTCATGGCAAAGACCATGACCTTAATCAAGAGATGAAAGGTAACATCTCTCTGCACTGGCATGGGTAAAATCTAAAAAATAAAATATCACCACGATATTGGGAACCCACGTGTGATGGTGTGTCCCTGTAGCCCCAGCTATTCCGGAGGCTGAGGCAGAACTGCTTGAGCCCCTGAGTTCAAGGCTGTAGTGGACCCCAATCAGACCTGTGAATAGCCACTGCCCTCCAGCCTGGGCAACACAGCCAGACCCTATCTCTTTTAAAAAGGCATGGCCGGGTGCAGTGGCTCACACCTGTAATCCCAGCACTTCAGGAGGCTGAGGTGGGTGGTTCATGAGGTCAAGAGATCGAGACCATCCTGGCCAACATGGTGAAACCCCATCTCTACTAAAAATACAAAAATTAGCTGGGTGTGGTGGTGCACAGCTGTGGTCCCAGCTACTCGGGAGGCTGAGGCAGGAGAATCGCCTGAACTCAGGAGGTCGAGGTTGCAGTGAGCTGAGATCATCCAGCCTGGGTGACAATGCAAGAATCTGTCTCAAAAAATTAAATTAAATTAAATAGAATATGTGTGTGTATGTGTAGATGGATAGATGTGTTCTGATGTGATGCACCAAGTACATAGCATTTGTACCAAAAATTCACTATCTGAATTGAATGAGGAAAACTCCAACAAACCCATGTTACAAATTTAACGGTTAAATCTACAACTATCAGTTAAAGACTAGAGATCTGATAATTAAATGCAATTTGCAATCCTCCATTAGATCAAGAATCTGGAAAAAAAGTTTTTTTTTTTTCCCGTTTGCTCCAAAGAACATAGGAGGGACAACTGATAAATTTGAATAAGGACTGCAGGTTAGATAATAGCAATATTAATTTCCTAATTTTGATAAGTCTATTGATGATGTAAGAGAATCTCTGTTGTTTGGAAATACCCATTTTAAGAATGTATAGATAGGCTGGGCATGGTGGCTTACGCCAGTAATCCCAGCACTTTGGGAGGCCGAGTCAGGAGGATCGTCTTCGCCCAGAAGTTTTAGGCTGCAGGGAACCGCCACTGCACTGCAGCCTGGGCGACTGGGCGAGACTCTGTCTCTAAAAAAGAATGTAGAGATAAAGGGACATCATATCTGCAATTTCCTCTCAAATGGTAGAATGACAGAGCAAATGCAAAATGTTGACATTTGTAGAATCTAGAAGGGTTTATGGGAATTATTTGCACTAGTTTAGCAATATATTTATAAGTGTGAATTACTTTAAAATAAAAGGCTAACAAAGTTACTGAGATCAATTAAGAATGTGAGGAGCCGGCCGGGCGCGGTGGCTCAAGCCTGTAATCCCAGCACTTTGGGAGGCCGAGGCGGGTGGATCACAAGGTCAAGAGATCAAGACCATCCTGGTCAACATGGTGAAACCCCGTCTCT